GGTAACGGTGATTGACTCGGTCAAAAGCCTTTTCTTGATCCCATAAAATGATACCTAATGGCTCGCGGTTCCTTGAGTAATGCTCAATAATCGATCTGATTAAGTGCACATTATCTTGGATTGTTCTACCTGAGATCGAGCAAGATTGGTCAGGGTGAACTATTGTGCTTACCACTGCTCGTAGTCTGTTGCTGACCACTATCGAGAGTATCTTTTAATCGATATTCATCAAAGAAAGTGGCCGGAAACCTTTTATCGATTCTTCAACAGATCCTTCCTTTTTTAACAAAGTTAAGATGGCACGTAAAAAGGATGAGTGGAATCGTTGATTTACCCATGCACCATTGATCATTTTCACATAATATTCACCAATGATGGGGAATATTACTCTCCATACGTCTACCGTAATCCCATCGTCACCTAGAGATCGTCCTATCGTCATTTCCTTGAGAGCGTCATAGCATTCTCCAACTGTGATTTCCTTTTCTAGTTTATCAACATTTTGAGGAGTTTCGGTAAACCGGTCAAGAATCTGTTCCAGACTCCACTATCGACTGGTTTTTCACTGTACAGCTCAGTGTAAAAATCAGTGGCTACCGTCAGCATCTCTGATGTTGACTCTACTTTTCCTTTTGTAGGATGTAACAAAAAGGGAATAGGAACTTGGCTAGCTTTTGCACTGGCCATAGTTGTTTTTGCGATCAGGCCCAAATCTTTGACATTTCTTTTGTTTTCCATTAGTTTTTGCAAGAGCTTTTCTTTCCAAATTTTCACGAGTTTGGTTGTGTATGTTATTCATCAAGACAAAATCATCCGGTGATGGGTTGGTAGCTAAATGACCGTAACTCTTTTGTAAGCTGAATAATTCGCGTCGGGATTCTCTAACCATCTCATGAGTTTCATCGTGTAATAGAGATCGTTTGAAAAAAAAATTTCTGTGTGGAATAGGGCTTGGTACTTCTACACGACAATCACACCCCTATCTAGCGACTGATTATATTAGCTATATAACAGAACAAGAAAAAAAAACTATTGGTTGAAAAATATATATCATTGGATACGTAGGATATCCTAGGTCGGGATTCGAGCAATTCCTGAAAGGATTCGCCCACAGACTGGTTTCAACTCTGCTTCCGTTGGCTCCAAGCACCACTGGACCAGCGCTTTCTGTTCCAGCTGTCGCTCTAAAAATTTAGCATACTATCAAAGAGAAACCCCGCGATCAAGCCACCGAGCTTTGGCTGTCAAAAACCGACAGCCAACCTCGGCAATTCCGGGAAAACCTGTGGCGATTCGTCTCTTCACTGGCTCCAACTCTATGTTTGATGGCTCCAGATAGAACTTTTCATGCTCTATCGATTGCAATCTTACTTTTTACTTTTGACACAGTCATCGACGAGAAAATCGCAAATTAGTACCTTGATCATATGACATCAAGGGTAAATATGAGAAAATGCTGTGGCGATTCGTTCTTCACTGGCTCCAACTCTATTTTTGATGGCCTCAGATAGAACTTTTATCGTTTGCATATCAGGAATTGCTCGAATCCTGACCTAGGATATCTTACGTTCATTGGATAAACAAAAGAAGGAATTATGAACGCAAGTAATAGATGACTTTAGTTATAGAAAGCTATAATAGATAACACTGACAGATTTCAATTAATTACAACTAGTAAACGGATTAAATAATAAAATAACAAAGAGCATTTGTTATAAGGATGTAGGACAGAAAAGATAAACGAGACAATAAAAGGATTTAGTAATAAAACGAGACATGATTTGTTCTGACAATTGTCATTTAAATTGTATTATGATATGAGCACCTAAAGAAATTATATAAATAATATCATGTGCTAAGAGCATAGTACACTCCTTAACTGTTCGAAAATGTCAATTTATCCTTTACCACCCGTCGACCAAATGACTGCACACGATTGACACAGTATTACTAGTACGTTGGAAGATTATACTTTGTTCTGTCAATCAGTGGGATTAATACCGTATTGTACAAGTCAGCCGTGTTCCAATGGCCATCATAACTGGTACATGGGTAAATATTCAAGAGCGCAAGATAGTAAGTAATCAGTAGCATAATATAACCTCCGAAGGTAGTTTACAATTTTCATTGTGTTTTAGGATATCAATGGCGTTGTCATTCGAAGGATTGTAAATTAACTCGATCTATTCGTTCTTTTCCAATTCAAAGTTAACAATACAGCAGATAATGGATTTAATTTATTACTGGTCACAAGGTGAAGCTACCCATGAACATCTTCGTCGTCATTGTAATTTCTCGAGTGAGTCCACTATAGTACTACTATTCCTGCAGACAAATTAGCCAAAACTTATCGCCAAAAATTAGGCATTGATGAAGATATTTTATGGGAAATAATTGATAAAGCGTCGAAACAAACAACATTAGCAAGAGCAATAATTCGTCAAAAATATTTGAAGAATTTTCATAAAAGTTTAACAACGGGTGGAGAAAATTGGCCGAAAATTGGTCATCATATTCAAGCATTTGTTTTAGGTATGCAGCAGTATTTCAGAGATAAAGATGTCCCTTCCGAATCGTCTCGTAATGGAACAAAAAAAACCTTTTTTATATTCAGAAATTGCTCATCAAGCAAAGCTAGCCGGTTATACCGATGTACAATAAATGAATCAATGAATGCTCTAATGCGTAGTGACAAAAGAAAAGAAATATTATCAATGGATGATGAAGTCATCTAATGCAGAATATTCACAATTATTAGCCGATGGTGGAAATGACAGAGATGATTAAAACTTCCTGATCAATATCCTCAACCTTATGTTTCTGGGAAACCGCTTTTATTAGATAAAAACATTAAATTGTTAGGCGTGTATCTTTCACCAGATTTGACCTGGAAGTATCATCTAGAAAATATCAGTAAAAGATGTAGACAAATGCTAGGAGCGATGAACAGAGTTTTCAGGTGTGCGCCAGAGTTCATACGTCTTCATATTTACAAAACGTGTATATTACCAGTAATGGACTATTGTTGCATTGTCTTTGACAACGACTTTAAGACGCACTTAGATCTACTAACATCTGTACATAAGCTGGCTGCACGATTGATCACTAATAACTTCTCTACGAGTAGTTCTGTACTTATTAATAAACTTAAACTATCAGATTTGGAGAATCGGAGGAAATACTTTAGATTAATCTTTTTTCATAAGATTATTACTGGTCGAACTGCATTCGCTTCATTTTCATTAATAAAACCACTAACTACTAGAACTTCAGCACGAGCTTCAAATAAATGTCTTTGGCAGTTACGAAAATTTAAACGAAAAATTACGAAGTCATCTTTTCTGCCTCGAACTACACTCCAATGGAATGCTCTACCTAAAGAGATAATTGCTGCCTTCTCTGCTCGATCATTCAGACGTGCTTTAGGTAAACATCTTTGTTTATTGTAAATGCATTGTTGTTCTTAAGCCATCTTTTTTCCTCTTTTTTTCTTTTTATCCCTTTCGTTCATGGTGCTGACCTAGTCAAAGTTTCTCACTTAACTTTTTGTCAGTACCACTGTCAATTTAACATCCAGGACATGAAATAAATTTGATTTGATTGATCATGATAATTCAGAAGGTGTCCTAAAACAACAATCATCAACAACAGCATTATCAGAACAACATAGTACAACACGAGGAAATACACGGGGAAATATACGAAGGAATGGACGGAGCAATGAAAATGTTAATGAACGCAGAAGTGGATGTCGAAGCAGAGAACGTGGGAGTCAAAGTTGCGATGATCGAATTTCAAATAACATCTGTACAGCAGTGGCAGCAAAATCAATATCTATTGAACCAATATGAACAACGATAAGAGTAATGATTCAGCATAAATATATTTGTATATACAACAAACAGTACACAAATGAAAACAGTGTCTCAATGTTTTATTTTTTGTCTACTTTGTGTCCTGTTGTTATTTTTTTCTATTATTTACCTTACTTGAGCAAAAGTCAAATATTACTCTGTATTTCGTGTATTCAATATTTTTATATGTACAGCATTTATGTTTTGTTCAGTTTTCTATGTAGTCGATCATTATTTTAAAATGAAATGCAATAATGGTAACAATATTCAGCGTGTATAGGCTGGCAAAAAATAGAACCTAAAACAAACTGGTTCGTTTAGGGACACAGATGAGAAAGATAATCAGTTAGACTACATTGATATTAAAGATATTCCAAGCAATCGGTATGTGAGCTCTGCAACTTTAATAAAACTAAACCTAATCAATCAACTTGAATTTGCTTTCCCTTTTGTAGCAAGCCGAAAAAAGCTATTTTTACAAAATTAGAAATATCATCAACATTGACTATTCCGAAATGTAGATATTGTTTAACTGCTCGTGCTGTTACAGCCATATGCAAAATGTTGCGATTATTTGGTGTAAAAAAATGTTTCAGGATGTTACGAAACCATTAAAAATTATTTGAGAAAATATCATGTAAGAAAAATGTCCAAACCGGAGAAAATGTTTATTTGCCCAACGTGTAAAAAGGCGTCAACAACACGTACTTATTGTTCGAATCAAAGGTGCGTTCACCACAATAAAGAGTACACCTTAAAACCAACGCTATTCATCCAATACTCAATTGTTGAACAGCTAATTATAGCAAGAGAACAAGTATGTTTTGAAGAATATGGTCCTTCACCGTCTATACAAATCTCAACAATTGCCGATGGCCAAATATACAAACGTATATTATTGGAAATTGATGAGAAATTTTTAACATTAACATTAAATGTTGATGGCGTAAGTGTGTCAAATAGTTCTGATATGTCAATCTGGATTTTTACAATGGTTATAAACGAAATATCTCGTAATAAAAGATTTAAATTAGAAAATATAATAATTCCACTTACTTATCCCGGACCCAAAAAACCAACAAAAACAGAAATGATAACAATGGAAGGTGAATTAGTTAAAGAATTACAACGTCTCGAGCTTCCTACGCCATTCGTAGTTAAACAAGAAACCAATGAAATAATAAATATACGTACATTTCTAATTGCTGCCTGTTGTGGCAGCTCAGGCAGCAATACAAATGTTGCCCGGATCATCGCAGCATTCGGATGTGGTCGATGCACTGTCAAAGGTAAACGCTTAGTTAATTACTAAGAAAGGTTTATGGCTCTTAAATACTGTAAAATGCTTTTCCCCGTGCCGTAAAATGAAAACCCCGTGCGCTATTCAGTTATAAACGTCTTAAAGGATATGAATTATGAATTATTTTATTGTTTGGGTTTCTGGCATTTTGTGATTATTTGCCAGAAAAGTTTTTTAATCATTTTTTTTTACTCGTTATGATCTGTCATTTAGCAGAAAATCGATTTATTTACATGAAACATATTTCAGTAGTTGAAGAACTATGTTTACGATTTCTCGAACAATTTTCAGATCTTTATAAGTTACGCCGAGACATCACGTTCAAGTAATTCAAAGCATCAAACATATTGGTGCATCAATTCAGTCATGTGAAAAATTGTCAAACTATTCAACTTTCAACTCTGAAAACATTTTGGGTAAGATCAGTTATGTTAAGGCTATTCAGTTAACATAACTGATCTTACCCAACCTCTTAGTATAACAGCTTCTGAATGACTTAGAGATGGAACTTACACATATTCCCCTGTGATTTTTCTAAACAACAGACTGTGGTAGCTTTATGATACAGTAACAACTGTTCCTGTTGTTGAATTATAGGCATGTTAACTTCAACGCTGCATAGTAAACGAAAACAACATTCATTAGAATTAAATAACACTTTACAGTTATTAAAAATAGTTTCCATTAAAAGTCAATCAGAAGAATTTTCGCCTGTAATCAAGCAATTTATTGGTGGTCTCCAGTTAACCAAACGTTTAACCACTGGAACCCATACGACGAATGTTGGTGTTGGCAAAACTATTATTAATTTAAAACTAAAAATTGATTTAATAAAATTAAATGATTTACACGGTTAACTGACCTATTGCAAGGTGTTATTATTGATTTGGATCCATCATTTTCAACAACATCTCAACAGCTTGATATGCCATTAATTGAATTAAGTAAATATTGGAATAATAAGAGTTATTGAAAGTATAAAATTGATTATCGCCCGATGTTTTCTGTGAATGGAAATGTATTTGATAGCCACGAAAAATTGAAAAAAGTATTGATGACTGCGCCACAGAAAGAAATTAAAAACAATCCAAACATAGAATTTACTTTAAAACTTATCTACGTCATTGTGCTCGTTCAACGTATTATACATCGTTTATTAAATGTGATGATAAGTACTGCGTGCACTGTTGTCGTTATCCAATTCGTACTACAAAATCGATGTGTTTACTTCGTGCTGCTGGTGGTTATATATGGACCCGCAGCAAGAAGTAAACACATCGATTTTGTAGTACGAATTGGATAAAGCCCACAGTTCACGCAGGACGTATAATGAAATTTAATAAACGAT